CTAATGTATAGTGGGGTCAAATGGATGTTCATTTTTAACTGTGGTAATGAGAAAATTCGATGGAGCAGGATGGAAAATTTTTCTTGAACGAACTAGTTGTTAAGGCTTAGTTCACACCTTCTGGGGCAACCAATCGCTGCTCCATTTCCATGCGTTGCGTGTAGGGCTGTCCATTCATTTCAATGAGCTGCTCTATCAGTGAGAAATGCAGAAAAGGAAACTCGAACACTTCCAAAAAACGCACTGCACTGTATTATTATACAGTATTTATAAAGCGCCAATGGTTCGCTCAGCGCTGTACATTACAAAGGGGGACAGAACATGTGACAGAACAATACCAATACAATGCAAAACATGAGGGAATCGAGGGCCCTGCTCTTTCGAGCTTACAATCTAGGAGGGAGGGATAGAGGTACAGGAGGAGATAGTTGTGGGGGATGGAGTGGTAGGAAGAGTGGAGGAGGTCGGCAGGTTAGCAGGGGGTGGGGTAGGCTTCCCTGAAGAGATGGGTTTTCAGGGTGCGCCTAAAGGAGAGGAGAGTAGGTGATAATCTGATGGGTTGGGGCAGGGAGTTCCAGAGGATGGGTGACACCCTGGAGAAGTCCTGGAGGCGGGCATGGGAGGAGGAGACCAGGGAACTAGAGAGAAGGAGGTCTTGTGAGGAGCGGAGTGTGTGTGCTGGGCGGTACTTGGATATTAGGTCAGTGATGTAGTACGGGGCAGTATGGTGGACAGCTTTGTACGTCAGTGTTAGGATTTTGAATTTGATCCGTTGCGCAATCGGAAGCCAGTGGAGGGATTGGCAGAGGGGGGTGGCGGAGATGGAGCGGTTGGAAAGGTGAATGAGTCTGGCAGCCGTATTCAGGATCGACTGAAGCGGGGATAGCCAGTGGCGAGGCAGGCTAGTGAGGGGAGTTGCAGTAATCGAGTCATGATATGATGAGGGAGTGGATGAGCTGTTTAGTGGTTTCTGGGGTTAGGAACGTGCGTATTTTGGCGATGTTGCGGAGGTGGAGTCTGCACGAGTTTGTTAAACATTGGACTTGGGGCTGGAAGGATAGGTTGGAGTCCAGAATGACACCAAGTACTCTGGCCTGCGGGGCAGGTTTGATGGTGGCGTTGTTGGATGTGATGGAGAAGTCAATGGGGGGTGGTGTCCAGCCTGGGGGAAAGACAAGAAACTCGGTTTTGGAGAGGTTCAGTTTAAGGAAGTGGAGCGACATCCAGTCTGATATTTCGCTCAGTAGGTGTGTGATTCGGGCGGAGACCGAGGGGGTGAGGTGGGGGGTTGAGAGATAGATTTGTGTGTCGTCGGCATAGAGGTGGTAGTTGAAGCCGTGAGAGTGTATGAGTTGGCCAAGGGAGGAGGTGTAGATGGAGAAGAGAAGGGGCCCGAGGACAGAGCCTTGAGGGACGCCAACAGAGAGGGGGAGTGAGGGGGAGGTGGTAGCACTATAGGTAACGCTGAAAGAGCGTTGTGACAAGTAGGATGAGAGCCAGGAGAGAGCAGAATCTCTAAGGCTGAGGGAGTGTAGTTTTTTGAGGAGGAGGGGGTGGTCGACTGTGTCGAAGGCCGCAGAGAGGTCAAGGAGTAGGAGCACTGAATAGTGGCCATTAGCTTTAGCGGTTAGCAGGTCGTTGGAGAGTTTGAGTAAGGCAGTTTTGGTGGAGTGTAGAGGACGGAAGCCAGAATGTAGGGGATCAAGGACGTTGTTGTCGTTGAGGTGAGAGCTTAGGCGGGTGTAGACTAGGCGCTCGAGGAGTTTAGATGTAAATGGGAGCAGGGAGATGGGTCTGAGGTTGTTCGGGTCATTGGGGTCCAGGGAGGGCTTTTTAAGTATGGGGGTGATGTGTGCATGTTTCAGAGGGGAGGGGAAAGTGCCGGAGGAGAGGGAGAGATTAAAGATGTGGGTGAGGGAGTGTAGGATGGAGGGGGAGGGAGGTCGTAGGAGTTGTGAGGGGATAGGGTTGAGGGGGCAGGTGGTGAGGCGGGCATCAGAGAGGATCTTGGAGACTTCCTCGTTGGTAGTAAGGTCAAAGGTGCGGAGTGTTGGGGGGGGCTTCAGTATGAGGAATGTAGGGTGGGGTGGAAGTGGAGGTCAGAGCAGTGGTGGGGCCATGGGAGAGGGGTGATGAGGGGGTAGCTGAGTGAGGGGGAAGGGGGTTGGAGGGAGTTTTGAGCAGCGACAAAGTCCCTGCGGGTTATGTCGAGGGAGAGGGGGGATGAGGGGGTAGCTGTGTGAGAGGGGACGGGTTGAGAGGGCGTGTGAGTTGCGGCGATGTCCTTGCGAATTGTGTCAATCTTGTTTTTGAAGTGATTGGCAATCTCAAGGGCAGTGAGTGAGGTGCTGGGTGGAGGTGGGGGTGGCGAGAGTTGAAGGTGGAGAAGAGTCGACGAGGATTGGAGGAGAGGGCCTTGATGAGGGTCAGGAAGTAGGCTTGTTTGGCTGTGTGGAGGGAGGAGGTGTAGGTGTGGAAGGCATATTTGTAGCGGTGAAGGCTTGTTGGGATTTGGTTTTGAGCCATAGTCGCTCCAGGGCACGACTGTGTCTTTTGAGGGTTTTGGTGTGATCAGTCTGCCAGGGCTGGAGCGGTCGGGGTCTGATATTGCGTGTGGTTAAAGGCGCTAGTGAGTCATGGGCGGTTGACAGCGCGTTGTTGTAGGCAGTCATAGCCAAGTCGGGGCAAGACAGGGGGAGGATGCTGTCGTGGAGTTGATCAGCTGCAGAGTGCAGGGGGGCAGGGTTAAGGTTGCGGAGGTTACGGCTGGTAGTAGTGTGACATTTGGAGGGGTAGGCGTTGGAGGACGAGGAGATAGAGAAGGTAATAAGGTTGTGGTCAGAGAGAGGGAAGGGGGTGTTAGTGAGGTTGTGGGGAGCGCAGCGGTTGGAGAAGACGAGATCGAGGATATTACCGTTGGAGTGGGTGGTGGATTGTATGCACTGTGCAAGTGCAAAGGAGGAGGTTAAGTGGAGGAGATGGGATGTGTCTGGGTTGTCGAGGTTGACAGGGATGTTGAAATCCCCAAGGATGATGGTGGGTAGCTCAGAGGAGAGGAAGAAGGGTAGCCAGAAGGAAAAGTCATCCAGGAAGCGGGATATGGATCCAGGAGGCCGGTATATCACCGATCGGGCGTTCAGGAGTGCACATGAAAACGGGGGGGAGTGTTAGGGAGCAGGGGACAGATACTAAGTTACGGGGGTTGCGGCAGGACGTGGAAGCGGGAGGGTATTGTGCGGATGAGGGAGGTGGTGGAGGGCCAGGATTCGGGGAGATGTCCCCCGCGGTTAGGAGGAGAAGGGTGAGAAAGGTGGCATGGGAGCGGGATGTGCAGGAGCGTGAGAAACTACTAGTGGAGGTGTTCGGGTCAGTGGGAGAGTGGAGTAATAGGAGGAGGTAGTGGGGTGCCGTAGAGGGGCGAAGGAAGTAGTAAGGACACAATATACAAATGTTTGGGAGGAGCAGAGGGATATAGTGAATGGATTTTGGGAACGGAGGAGAGGAAAATGAGAAGGAGGAGTGGAAGAGGCATTTTGGGAAGGTGATGAGAGCAGTAGTAGGGAGATGATAGCAATGAGGGGGAGATGTACAAGTTTTGGGGTGGAGCAGAGGGGTAAAGAAATGAGATTTGGGAACAGAGGATAGTAATATGATAAGGAGAAGAGGGGGCGTATTATATAAAGGTGTATTGTATTGTGTTGCGGCACGATTTGGTTTGGCGCACATGAAAACACGCGTTTGCAGATATGTAGGGGTGTCATTACCAATTAATGGCGTGTGTCTGCCAAAGGGCAGTGTGCACCTCTGCACGTCAGGATAGCATGTGATTTTGTGCCCATTACTGACACAGATCTGAACCTAGCCTTAGGGCTCATTCACACAAGCAGCAGGGGGAGGACCAAGGAGGTGAACTGCAGCCCCCCCCTCTTCCCAAACACTGACATGCGGCTACTCAGGGCTGTACACATGACACAGCTGCAATGCTGTGCTTCACAGACATGGCAAACAATAAACAGCATGTCGCATTCTGCAGGTGAATACGGCCCATGCAAGTCTATGGGGACACTCTACAGCCACATGCAGTGTACATGTTAGTGTGTCATTCACAGGGTTGAATCAGGCAGTAAGGAGTTAACATTATGCATCAATACCTGGAAAATGCCCTCTGAAAAGTGATCCAACATGGATTACACTTCAGAGGGCACTACAAGCCATAACAGTAAATGTGGTTTTTGTTTAAAATTCCATTTGTTCCAAAATCGAATGTTAATTGAGCAAAATTGTGAAGTACTTTCAAAAGGCATTCGTTGTACAGTACTGAGAATTTTTGTGTGAATGTTAGTTTAAAAATCTACTAGTGCATGACCAGCTTAATGTGATTTTAAAGGCTGAAGGTTGCATTCTCTGCATTAAGGGAAAAAACCTTCTGCATGCAGCTCCCCCCCACCCCACCCCACCCTAGCTCTCTCCCTCCTCTGGCTCAGAGACAGCAGTGGGAGCCATTGGCTTGCTATAAGTGGCTTGCTCTTGGGGCACTTGGCAAGGGCGAGTGTCTGCGATTGACCTGAGAAGAGGATTGGGTCTGTGCAAAACCACATACACCCAAATGATGGAAAACCTTTGTATAAGCTCCACCCCTTGTATCGTGCAAATAATGCCTAGCTAAAGTCAAAAAATGTATTGCACAAATATTGTACTATCCACCTCCATTTTTACTGTCCATTACCATTACCATTTTCCTGTAAGGTCTATACACACAATCAATGGTAATGCACAGCAATGCACCTTACATACCTTGCAGCAATGTGATACAATTCATTCTGAACGACATCCCAAAGCATCTTGCTGATGGATTAACAAGCCAAGGCTGAATCTAGCCCATCTGGTCTGGGGGTGCAGTAAAAAAGAGTCAGGGGGCACAAGTCAACACTGTGTGTGAGTTACTGACAGTCTGTCACACAGTGTCACAACCTGGGAAATACTAGTATGTATTAGGCTGTCATTAGATTAGCATGACTAAACAGAATGTGTGCACCCTTATATCAGGTCTCCTTATCAGAGTCCCCATCAGAATGCCCTTACATCAGGGTCCATATCAGAGTGCCTCCTCACATCAAGGTACCCATCAGAGTACCTCTTTTCATCAGGGTCCCGATCAGAGTGCTCTCTTACATCAGGTGTTACCATCAAAGTCCACCCTTATATCAGGGTCCCCATCAGAGTACCCCCATACATCAGGGTCCCCATCAGAGTGCCCCCTTACATCAGGGTCCACATCAGAGTGCCCATTTACATCAGGGTCCACATTAGAGTGCCTCTTTACATCAGCGTCCACATCAGAGTGCCCCTTTACATCAGGGTCCACATCAGAGTGCCCCTTTACATCAGGGTCCACATTAGAGCGCCCCCTTACATCAGAGTGCCCCCTTACATCAGGGTCCACATCAGAGTGCCTCCTTTCATCAGGGTCCCGATCAAAGTGCTCCCTTACATCAGGTTTTACCATCAGAGCACGCCCTTACATCAGGGTCCCCATCAGAGTACCCCCTTACATCAGCATTCACATCAGATTGCCTCCTTTCATTAGGGTCCCGATCAGAGTACTCCCTTTCATCAGGTGTTACCATCAGAGCACACCCTTACATCAGGGTCCCCATCAGAGTACCCCCTTACATCAGGGTCTCCATCAGAGTATCCCCTTACATCAGGGTTCCCATCAGAGTCCCCCCCCCCCCCCTGTATATCAGGGTCCCCATCAGATTGCCTCCTTTCATCAAGGTTCCGATCAGAGTGCTCCCTTACATCAGGTGTTACGGTCAGAGTCCCCTTTACATCAACTGTCCCCATCAAAATGTAACTTAAAACCAATGTCCCATCAGAGTGCCCCCTTGCAGCCATTGTCCCCATTAGAGTGCCCCCTTACATATTATCAGTTACACCATCAGAGTGCCCATTTACATCAGGTGTCCAAATCACAGTGATCCTTTACATGGATTTTCCCAAAGTGCCCCTTACATCAGATAAGTCCCATCACAGTGCCCACTTACATTAGGTAAGTCCCATCACAGTGCACCCTTACACATGGATTGTCCCAATTAGAGTGCCCCTTACATCAGGTAAGTCCCATCACAGTGCCCCCTTACATCAGGTAAGTTCCATCACAGTGCCCCCTTACATGGATTGTCCCAATCAGAGTGCCCCTTACATTAACTGTCTGCATCAGCATGCTCCCTTACATCAATTTCCCCCATAAGTCTGGATCATGGGTGAATGGATGCACTCTCAGAGACCTGGGGGGGGGTCTCATCTAAAATCTGGGGGGACACAGCACACCCCAGCACACCCCCTAGATTCCGGCCCTGTAACAAGCCCTGTCATGTGCCTCCAGAAATAGTGTATGTGCAATTCAATTATTTTGAAAATAAATAAGACGGGGCAGTCTAATAGGCACTAGAGTTTGACCGCACTGTCCACTAGACTCTGTAAACCAACAGACCTGGTCAGACAAGCCCCTCCTCTTCCTCAGTACTGCAAATCTGTATAATAAGGGGTGTGGCCACTACTCAGCTATGGCAGCACAGAGCACTGGGCACTGGTGCCTGCAAGAGAAGCACAAGGTACTTGAAGGTAAATCCAACTATTAAACATACATGTACAGCCAAAAGTTATTTGTTTGGTTTTGGTGGTGTAGAGATGGTTATCATATTATTTTTTGCTGTCTGTATTCAAGTGGACAAATTTCCCTTTACTTCCTGTATGCCTCTATTTCTTGGTATACTGCATCTGACAGGTTGCTGAGGATGCCAAAAATCCTCCATCTAATATGTCACATTCCATAGTTGGCTTTGATCTTCTGGCTTAGATGCTGTGAATTTCACTGCTTTTACAGTGATGATAGCAGGTCACTCGCTCTTCAACTCCCCCATTCTGAAAATGTCCTGCATTCTTTTCTCTTACAGTGGTTCCAAAGACTTTTTTTTTCCTAAAATAATAAACACGCCGTACTTACCTGTTCTGTGCAATGGTATAGCAAAGAGGGGCCCTAACCACCTTTTCTGGGGTCTCCTGCTGGCTTCTCAGAATGCCACAATAGCAAGCTGCTTAATATAGTGGCACTCACACAGGCTAACTCCCAAGTCAGGCTGTGTGCGTCCATTGACACACACAGCGCAGCTTATCCACTCCCCCTATTCCCTCCTCACTGATTTCAGAAGATAGTGACCTGACTGAGTAGGGAGTGCATGTTGGACCACTGCTTCCCCACAAAGAACAAGGATCCCACTCTGCAGCTGCTGGCAGGGGACAGGCCTTTCTACTCAGGCTGTGGCTGCTTTAGGAAGAAAATGAAAGGAAAATGGAAGCCTTTATATAGCCAAACACTAAAAGCCCAGTGTTTATTAAATGCCACAAAAAGAAAACTCTACCTGTCTCAAATAAATAGAACAAAGTTAATTTAGATACAACGTTGCATGAGTAATTGTCAGTCAAACTAACACAGCACTGAAAAATAGCCCAGTCAGGAAGGGGTATCACAGACTGGTACTCAAGTGATCAATAAACAGTCAACTTCACAACTTCATGGCTTATGATTATGTCCTGCCACCCAAGCTTAGACCCATTGACATAGAATTCCCCCGTCCAGGGAGTGCTCATAGGCTCAGTTCACACTGCTGCGACATGAAAGTTTTGCGTCTTTGCATTGTGACTCACTTGAGACCTGATGTGACTTCAAGAGAAAAAAGCAAAACAAGCGCTCAGTCTGTAAGCATCCCAGAACCACAGTAACAGTCACTCGCTGAGGTGCAGCCCTCTAAAGATCGGGGAATCTTGATATTACTGGAAGAAAGCAAAATAAGGGGCGCACTCTCCTCGTGCATTACCGTGATAAAAAGGAATTTATTAAAAATGACAAAAGTATATATTCACACACCAAGAGTCATAAAACAAGCTGGGAACCAATGTGACAGTCCAAGCAGACGGTAGTCTGGTGACAGGGCATTCTAACGCGTTTCGGGAGACGTACTACCTTCTTCAGAGCTAAAACAACTATACATGATGCAAACCTATATAGAGGAGTAGGAATGAGAGGGCCTCTCATTTCATCCTACTTCTCTATGTAGGTTTGCATCATGTATAGTTGCTTTAGCTCTGAAGAAGGGAGTACGTCTCCCGAAACGTGTTAGCATGCCCTGTCACCAGACTACTGTTTGCTTGGACTGTCACATTGGTTCCTATATACTCCTATATAGAGGAGTAGGATCAGTAGGATGCTTCTCATTTCATCCTATTCCTCTATAGGTTTGCATCATGTATAGTTGTTTTAGCTGTGAAGAAGGGAGTACGTCTCCTGAAACGTGTTAGCATGCCCTGTCACCAGACTACCGTTTGCTTGGACTGTCACATTGGTTCCTATATACTCCTAAATAGAGGAGTAGGATCAGTAGGATGCCTCTCATTTCATCCTACTTCTCTATATAGGTTTGCATCATGTATAGTTGTTTTAGCTCTGAAGAAGCTAGGGCACGCTGGCACCTAGGGGCACCTGGGCACAGCACAGGCCAGCACTCTCAGTATGTGGGACGCCGCCACGTCATTTATGATCCTTCAGTTGAGGGGAGGGGTGGCAGAGGGGAGGAAGAAAGGACAGAGGAAGATTTCGGGTGTAGCAGCAGAGCTGCCGTTCCTTCAAGTGTTTCTCTCAGACTCGGTCCCTTACTGCAAGCCGGCTGGAGGCTGCTGATCACTCTGGAGTTTCAGCCCTTCTTTTCCCATTCGTCAGCAGAGGAGGAGCTGCACCTGCGGGGGAAGGTAATGTCTGACTCTGATGTCTCGTGTCTGTGTGAGTGTGACCCAGCTGGCTGTCCATCACATGTGAAATGTGTCAGTGAGTGATGACATCATCACAATCTCACAGCCTGCTCTTCTAGTGCCTGCTGATCTGTGCCAGTGTTGGTGTTGGTGTGTTGTGTGTTGGATCTGTCACTGTGTGGGATCGCTGTTCAGCTGCCTGCTGTCACAGCATTTTATCTCCCCCCATTACCTGGGAAATTGCACCCTGGGATCTGGGATCGAGTGTGGATCCATCATCCTCCACTGCCAGCAACAGATACAGTCTGTCCGTGACACTGATTTTGTCTTTAATATTGGTGCTGGTGGCATCATATGGCACTTATTTTGCAAATTAAAAGAAATGTAGAAGTTTTGTTGATTTAATATTTTCTACGGTTTTTATTTATTTTTTTGGTGGGGGGGGGGTGCAAGTAGCTGGTCTTGCCTAGAGCGCAAAATAGTCTAACACCGGCCTTGACTTCAGCACACTCACTCCTTACAAAATGAAACCAGTATCAAAGGGGTGCACTAGAGAAGATCTTTTGGCCAAGAAAGGGGGCAGAAGGTACCTTGTGATACCTGATCTTGCCAGAATCCACCCCCCCCACACCTGTTTTCGCTTCCCAAGCATTGAAATGGTTAATATGCGGCCAAGCAATCTTGGTGATGCATTATTAGTTGCACTAATAGACTTGTTCCATTAGTCAGACAAGACGAATACTTTCAGGTGCGGTATTGCATTTTGATGGCCTAAATAATTGTATTAGTAAAGGAAAACATTTGAAAAGAATGCAGATAAGATGAGAGCCCTGAAAACCAACATACATTATCACTAAACAGGACTGCTGGGACACCGCCATACTATGACCTGACAGTGGCACCTAGTGGCCAGTGGTGGAACCTCCCACAGAAAAACAGCTGCAAATTACAAGCAAGTTTTTTTGGGGCCATATTTTATTACAGCATAATAAATATTGTTTGTTTTGCCTTCAGCTGCCCATAATTCAAATGAAGCAATATGTATGCAAAAATGGAGCTCTAAAAGTGAAAATAAAATGTGTTTGGAAAAGAACATTCTGCTGGGTCTGTGTTTTTTCTAAGAGAAACATAAATCACTTCAAGTGGTCAGCTTATCAGTGATTCATGAGGTGCGAAGCGAAATCTCGCCATGTGTGCAATGCAGCGCAAAAGTCACTGGTCTCTGTTTAAAAAGGGACAACCAGTGAAAAAAACTTGAGCCTTTAATAAGGTGGCCACACATATCCATATGATCATTCGATCAATCATTGAATGCGACTAAGGTAATCAAATTAAATAAGAATTGTAAGCCACAGATTCAATCCTTTTAGAGAGCTTTTAAATGATTCTGGTGCTGACAGGTCGGTTGGCATAAGTGGAATTTTTTGATCATTTCTGAATAACTGAATGAAAGCCTTTAATAAGGTGGCCACACATATCGATATGATCATTCGATCAAACATTCGATGTAACTAAAGTAATCGAACTGAATAAGGATCGTAAGCCACAGATTCAATCCTTTTAGTGGCCTTTTGATTAATCCTGGTGCTGACAGGTCAATTGGCATGAGTGGAATTTTTTCGATCATTTCTGAATAACTGAATGGAAATCTGAATGCGTGCCAGACAGCCAATCAGAATACAGATCAAATAAATGAATGTTTTTTTTCTTCACATGCTAGGGCCGTATTTATAAACCACAGCTCTCAAT